AAACCAATTCACAAACTTCATCTCAGCACATAAAAAATCTCCTTCTGGATTTCCTCAATTGTGAGAAGGAGCTTCCATCTCCTCATAAGGCTAATATAGATTCAGTGAAGGCGTGGCATGGTGGTACAGCCCTTTAAAAGGTTAAACCGAACACCAGAGGGTGAGGAGGCAGAGGCAACAGGATCTCTCTGTAAGTTCCAGGCCAGCCAGAGCTACATAGTGAGACCCTATGTCCAAAAAAAGAAAAAACTCAGACAATGTGCAACCCAACACTGGCTAAATTCTGAAGTGCCTAAGATATGTACATATAGTATCCTTGGATAGTCAGGCCCGGCATGGTGGCACATACCTTTAATCCCAGCACTGGGGAGGCAGAGGCAGCCAGGGCTGTTATACAGAGAAACCCTGTCTTGAAAACAGCAACAACAAAAAGTATGATTTGTCTAAAACAATTTTTTATGCTCACATGTGCTTCATTTTCCTTATAATGAAAAACACTAATAAATGTTTATAACTTCTCTCTAGGCTTGGTTTTCTGAGGGAGATGAAATTACATATACTCTAAGTCCCATCTAGTGCTAGACTCTGACCTCTAGGCATTCAGTGTTAGACTACTTCCCTAACACTTCAGTCCCTCAGGACCCCATGCTTCCTCTGAAGGGAGAGAACACATACACTTAGTTCGTGAAATGTCTGTAATCCCAGAACCTGCACAGGCAGAACACAAGTTCAAGGTCAGTCTAGGCTACACAGTAAGATCTTGTCTCAAAAATAATTTGGGGGGCAAAGCCAACAGATACCTCAGTGGTAGTGTTTGCCCAGCATACATTAAGGCCCTGGGTTCAATACTACCCATTTCACAAGTGTTTAATTTAGTTGTAAACCTCATCCAAATTGGGGCTTCTAGGTGATTCGAATACCTGTAAAATTTTATATTCCTTGGGCTGCGGGATGTGCCTCAGTGGCAGAGCTCTTGCCTAACATGTATTATGAGGCCCTTGGGTTTGATCCCCAGCGCTTGCGCGCGCTCACGCTCGAGCTCGTGTGCTCTCTCTCTCTCTCTCTCTCTCTCTCTCTCTCTCTCTCTCTCTCTCTCACACACACACACACACACACACACACACACACACACACACACACACACACACACACCCCTTTTATATTCCTTGAAGAAAAAAAACAGAAAACAAAAATATATCAAAATGGCCAACTGTCAAAAATGTAAAAGACCTACTTACTACTTAACCTAAAAGTAAATTCTGACTTCCTAACTAAAGATGACTATTAACTATTTTGCTTGCTATGTTGAGAAAGAGTCTCACTATATGGTGAAAAGTGGCCTCTAATTCTCAACCCTCCCAAGCCACTATACAGGGCAAATTATTAGCTCTATTTTAAAATCAGAACTCAGAACCAAAAAAAAAAAAAAGTCACCATCCTATAGCATCTGTATTCCTAGAACTTGAAAGATAAAGGCAAGGAGAATCAGGAGTTCAAGATCATCCTCTGCTACTTGACAAATTCAAGGCCAGCCTGGTCTATTTGAGACCTTGTCAAAAAAAAACAAAAAAAGTCAATTATATTCAGAAATGACAATAAGTACAAACTCAGTTATGGAAAGAAAAACTTCAATTGCAACAGCTAGAAGAGTTTAAATATCTGCCACAAAATACAAATGTATCTACAAGATAGATACATAAAATTTTACACACACACACACACACACACACACACACACACACACACACACACCAAAGTATCAAAGCACTCAAATCACCCAGTTAAAGGCAACTTAAGTATTTCAAACTTTTGACTTTTTTTTTTTTTTTGAGACAGAGTTTCTCTGTGTAGCCCTGGCTGTCCTAGAACTCACTTTGTAGACCAGGCCTGCCTCTGTCCCCCAAATGCTATGATTAAAGGCATGTGGCAGTATTTCAGACATTTTTTTTCCCCCTGGAACTGGCTTTGTAGACCACCTGGCCTCAAACTCACAGAAATCTGCCTGTTTCTGCCCCTGAATGCTGAGATTAAAGGTGTGCACCACCACTGCCTGGCTTCAGATGTGTCTTAAAGGATGTTTTAGCATAGTTTTTAAAAGATCTTAGAACACCATTGTAAGGATACTTCTAAACAAATGGTCTTTTTTTTTTTTAACTATGCAAACCAGAGCTACTAGACCCAGATGAAGTTTGTCCTGAGAATAATCGGAAAAAAAGCCTTCCAGGACTGGGTGTGTAACACTTCAAGGGAACACTTGCCTAATATGCCAGAGGCTCTGGGGTTCTGTCCACAATCAACACTGGGGTGGGGGGAGACAGAAAATGAGGGAAAGGAAGCAATACCTGAACTAGCAATCATTAATGTAAGTTTCACTCTTTAAACTTTTTATTACTTACTTACACATGAATGTCTGAATGCCACATGTATGCAGGTGCCCAAAGAGGTCTGAAGAAGGCTTTGAATATGCTGGAGCAGTGATTACACGTGGCTGTGAGCTGCCTGATGTGGAAGCTAGGCTCTGAAGAGCACCAAGTACTCTTAACTACTGAGCAATCTTCCAGCCCCTGTGAATTCAACTTTTAATTAAGTATGTTGTATTTTTACATCATCATTATTTTTGTTTGACAGGTTTTGGATTGGGAGAGTGTTTTGGTTTTTTGAGATATTCATATTTATGAATATTCATATTATGAGTATAAATTAGATATTCATATTATGTAGCCCTAACCGGCCTGGACTTCTACATAGGCCAGGCTGGCCTTAAACTCAGAGATCCACCTGTCAAGGTTTGTGCCACCACACCCACCTGGTTTTCTTTTATTTTGTTTTATTTCAGGTAGGGTCCCACTATACAGCCCATGTTTTATATAGCCCATATCTGCCTCAAACTTGCTAACTGTAGCCCAGGCTGGCCTCGAACTTGATAACTATAGTCCTGGCTGGCTACAAAAATCACACTTTGAGTGCTAGGATTGCAGGTGTACACAATCACAGTAGGATCTAATTACAATTTTTCTAAGATTTATTTTATTTTTTAAATTACGTGTGCGTGCACGTTCACTATAAGTGAGTACTCAGAACCCAGAAAAGGGCATCAGATTCCCTGGAGCTGGAGTTTCAGGCAGTTGTGAGTAGCCTGACATGGATTCTGGGAACTGAACTGGAGTCCTCTGCAAGAGCAGTGCAAGTTTTTACCCACTGAGCCATCTCCTGAAATCTGTTTTGATAACATAGTCTTAAAATGTTTTCCAGAGCCGGGCGGTGGTGGCGCACGCCTTTAATCCCAGCACTCGGGAGGCAGAGCCAGGCGGATCTCTGTGAGTTCGAGGCCAGCCTGGGCTACCAAGTGAGTTCCAGGAAAGGCGTAAAGCTACACAGAGAAACCCTGTCTTGAAAAACCAAAAAAAAAAAAAAATGTTTTCCAGAGAAAAATCTGAATACTGTGGTATTCGGAGGAGGAATGTTGAGATGGCAGCTTCTTTTGATAGTCACTTAATGCTTGCTTCTCTAATTTACATCTGCTGAGTGTGTCAGGACTCTAACGGCCATGACAGCTACTGTATCACGAATTATATATAATGTGCACTGCAGCCCTCTCTTGTTAAAGAAATGGAGGAAAAGTTTCAAAAGTACCCAAGGTCACCCATGAGTCAGTAACAAGGTTGGAAGGTAACACTAAAACTTCAGCTCCTACACTACAAACCACTTTCCCAATCCCAAATGAGAGGAAAGAGCCAACTGGCTATTTTCAAAACCTTCCAACACCGTAGTACACTGACTAAACACAAATCAAAGATTCACCTTGGGCCAAAGAAAAAACACGCTACATTTGCATACCATTATCTCCTTCCTTGTTCTCATAACCATATAACACAATATGAAAAACCAACTGACTTTGGCTATATTAAACCTTGGTAATGTGTGTACTTTTCAATATGGACAATTTATTTTCCCACTAACTGAACATTTATAAGTTAATCTTTCATCACCTTGTCACATTCCGTCCGAGGTGCTATGGGGTACATCACTTCCTCACTCAACAGTCAAAAGTTAAAAACAAGCAATTCTCAGAACATATAGCTACATTGCCAATGACAAAAGGGGGGGGGGAGCGCCAATAAATTGCTGCTTTTAACGAGACATTTTAAAACACGACGACGTGCTTCACAGAATTACTGTTAAGTTCTTGGCTGGTTACTTTAAAGTAGCATTTAAGGCATATCCCTCCCTGTTTGGGACAGCCTGACTCGTTAGACAAGATAAATCTAGGCTCACTCACACAGAACACCTCTGAAGCAACTTAGCTTATTGAAAACATCACTGCAACCTCCCAAGCGTGAGTACCCAGCCCTCTCATACTACAAGGGACAGAATGTCCCTCTTCAAAAATCTTTCAGGAGAAGGTTCCCTCGCGGAGACAATGACAGCAGTACTCCCGGGAAGGTTTCTGGAAACAGTGTTGACACTAGGAGAAGAGGCTCCTAGGAAGTGTCAGTGCGGCAGCAGGTGGAGTAGCCCTGCGTGCCGAGCAGGTCCTTTCTGACCTAGTCTCCAAGTCCTCCGCCTCCCTGTCCCGGTTCCTCCTTACGGACCTTTCCAAGGCGCCTCGCGCCCCGGTTCTCTCACCCAGGGCAGGATTCTCGAGCCTCCCGGGAAGCGAGGCCACCTAAGACGGCCGCCGCACCTCTTCCGGGGACTCGCAGGCCCGCTCCCCGGCAGTGTCGGAACCTGACGGACCCTACCCGGGGGGAGGCAGCCAGCTGCTCCCGGGGTCTGTCCGCGCCCCGGTTCCAGAGACCCCTCCCTTTCGAGGCACCGCAGCCGTCATCCGCCTCACTCCTGAACCCTTCTCCTCCGGAGTACCCCAGCGGAGTTACCGGCCCACTCAAAAGTACCAGCGCCGGCCGCCCCCACCGGTCACCCCGGCCTCGCTGTCACCGCCCAGCTCCCGGCTTCGGCCCGCACCGCCGGCGTGCCCCCGGTGACGCTCGGGTCGGTACCTTGCGGACCCCCTTGTAGATATAGAAGTAGAGCTCCCGGCCCACATTGAAGCAGAGGCGGTCGCCGTTGCCAGACTGGTCGTTGAGGTTTACGAAGGAGACGCGGACAGGGTTGGATCCCTGCGAGTTGAAGGGCACCCGGTTGGGCCGGCTGTACTCCGAGTGCGGCAGCAGCTTGTACAGACCTTCCCGGGTGGTGAATTGGGTCTTAATCTCGTTCATCTCCTTCCCTCCTCCCTCCGTCGCCATCTTGGAAAGCAGCGTTCATCCTGCCCTAAGTGCCCGGATCACGCCCACCGCGCAGGCGCCGTCCACGGCCGCTCGTTCTCCACCCCCCACCCACTTCGTCGCGGCCCCGCCCATTCGCGAGCCCGCCCCCACGAAGGCGGGCCGAGGCGAAGGGGGCGGGGTCATTTACGGTCCCACTGCGCACGCGTGCTCACCTGGCGCGCTCCACCAGGCGGGGCGAGCGCAAGCTCCTCCCCTGGGTGCCGCCCTCTCCATGCCGGTGGGAAAGCTCCGCTCGCGGAGCTCCGCTCAGGCGTTCCTTGGGTGAGGTGAGTCTGTGGGCGCTCTGGCGCTTCGCTGAGAGACCCTAACTCCAGAAGCCGAAGGAGGGCGCCGCCTTGGCCTCGGCCGGCTGGCACCCCGTGAGACTGAGCCTGAGCCGAGCAGTGAGGTCCGGTGTGTGGAGCTGTGCGTCCCAGCTGTGCTCGCCCTCCCCCGGGGCTGGGGAGGACGCAGGCGGTCGCGGTGGGTGCAGGGTCCTGAGCCCCTCTACGCCTCCCAGAGGCGGTTTTCGCAGAAGATAGAGAAGGATTGGGGTTTATTACACTTCACGGTTTTGTTTTTGTTTGTTGGTGGTTTGTTTGAAAGTGGGGTTGGGAAGAAGAGCCTAAGTGTACAGGACTTGTGTTTTCAAGTCTCACCTGAAATCTGACGGGTGAGCACTGGCTGGTTCTTGAGAAAGTAGGTTGTGTTGGCGCTCGTGTCTCCTGTGCTAGCGCCGTCACTCGCTGTCTAGAGGAAGGGGCGAGGGTCACAGCCCGGAGCTTCGGAAGCTAGACATTGAATCTGTGCATGATTTTCTTGCTCAGTAGTTAATACCGCCTAATAAAGGTAAAGCTAATTAGTTTTTTAAAAGCCTCACATGGATCTTGAAGTTGTTTGCTAGGAGAACCATAAAGTTGTATGAATATTCTGTACAAAGTCTAAATCCTAAGAAAAAGCTCACACTTAAAGTAGTATTAAACCTTTGATGCATCGATTTCTGGGTATGTGCACTGGAATACGAAGGCTTCTAAAGTAATAAACGTTATAATAGAATTCTAGAATGGAAAAAAAGAATGTTACACGAAGAATCAACTATTCCTGAAAAGTCATGTCTGTAGAGTAGAAAATAAGTGGAGCAAGCTCTGTACCGTGGTGGGCACCTGTAGTTCCAGACAGAAGGAATGCCTAAGCCCAGATGTCGGAGGCTAGCCTAGCCCATGGAACAAGACTCCCGACTCACAGAAATTAATTGTAAAAAAGTGAGGAGTGTTCGAAAGAAGTTTAAGTGATAAACATTTTATGTAGTAGAAAGCAAATACATAAACAGTAGAAACTGTACCAATGTTGTAATAATGCATTTGACACTAACACCTTGTAGCTTTCATACATGCTGGAGAATATATATATATATATATATATATATATATATATATATCCATCACTACAGTAAAATCCTTTATTTATTTATTTATTTTTAGAGACTATATCTCACTAAATAGCCCTGGCTGTCCTGGAACTCCATAGAAGACCAGGCTGGCCTCCAACTCAAAAATATGCCTGCCAGGTGCTGGGATTAAAGGAGTGATCTACACGCCCATCTTAAAACCTTAATACATTTCTAGAATACACCTTAAATTTCATTTTGTTGTTATTTATCTTTTCCTAAAATGCAAATATAGATCAAAACTCTTAAAAATACTAGGGCATGTTCAATGGGCAATCCCAATCTCCCATTGCTATGTTATTTTGCACCAAAACCAGGTGTTTATAATGGTCATCTTGAGGGATAAGTAACAGCTTGAGTTATCTAAAAAGAATGCAGTTGGGTTTTCTAGTTAAGAGGGGAAAATATGCTTTGGGAGGGGAAACCTCAGCAAACAGAAACTGAAAAAATGTTGAACTTCAACCATAAGGTTGAATTGCTCATAAAACCAATATACTAGGGCTGGAGAGATGGCTCAGAGGTTAAGAACACTGGCTGTTCTTCCAGAGGTCCTGAGTTCAATTCCCAGCACCCACATGGTGGCTCACAACCATCTGTAATGAGATCTGGCTCCCTCTTCTGGCCTGCAGGGACACATGCAAACAGAACACTGTATATGTAATAAATAAATATATATATTAAAAAAAAAACAAAAAAAAAACCAATATACTACTGGGCATGATGCTAATGCCTTAACCTCAGCACTTAGGAGAGAGAGGCAAACAGACAGACATCAAGGCCAGCCTGGTTCACATAAAAACTTCCAGAGCGGGGCTGGAGAGATGGCTCAGAGGTTAAGAACACTGGCTGTTCTTCCAGAGGTCCTGAGTTCAATTCCCAGCAACCATATGGTGGCTCACAACCATCTGTAATGATACCTGGCTCCCTCTTCTGGCCTGCAGGGATGCATGCAAACAGAACACTGTATGCATAATAAATAAATAAATCTTTTAAAAAAAAAAACTTCCAGAGCACTCAGGGCCAGCCTGGTCTACACAAAGACTTACAGAGCACTCAGGGCCACATAGTGAACCCTGTCTTAAAAAAAAAATTAAGACTGATATGCCTTAAGATTTATATTAAGGTTTTATTCTATACATTTTTTTTCTTGCCAGACACGGTAGCATATTCCTGAAATGCCATCATTCCCAGAGACTGAGAAAGGATGATGGAGAACTCAGAGCCAGCCAAGCATAGTGGCACACACCTGTAATACCAGTACTTGGGAAGTGGGAGCAGGAGGATCAGGAGTTCAAGGACATTCTCAGTTAAGTAGTCAGTTGAGAAACCAGCCTGGGCCACTTCAGACCCCCTCTAAAAATGAAGTGATTCCAGCACTTGGGAGGCAAAGGCAGGCAGATCTCTGTGAGTTCGGGGCCAGCCTGGGTGAGTTCCAGGACAGCTGAGGCTACTCAGAGAGACTCTACCCCACCACCACCAAAAAAAGAAAGAATTCAATGCCAACCTGTGCTCCATAGCAAGACATTATCTAAAAACAACAACCAGAGCTAGAAAGGTGGCTCAGTGGTTAAGAACATTTGCTAATCTCTCAGAGGAGCCAGGTTTGATTCCTAGCACCAACATGACAGCTAGCAACCTTCTACAACTCCAGTTCCAGGGAATCTTACGTCTCTTCTGGCCTCCACAGGCACTGCATGCATAAAATACACAGACATACATGCTGGTAAAATACCCATATACGTAAAAAATAAAAATCATCTGGGCATGGTAGTATACACCTTTAATCTCAGCACTCAGAACGCGGAGGCATATGGATCTCTGTGAGTTCAAGACCAGCCTGGTCTATAGAACCAGGACAGCCAGAGCTACATAGAGAAGAGACCCTATCTCTCTCTCAAAAAAGTATGATTCCTTTTCACAAAATGTTAGAATTTTGTAGCTGGGCAGTGGTGGCACACACCTTTAATCCCAGCACTCAGGGAGGCAGAAGCAGGTGGATCTCTGTGAGTTCAAGGCCAGCCTAGTCTACAAAGAGAGTGCAAGGACAGCCAGTGCTGTTACACAGAGAAACCCTGTCTCAAAAAAAATTTTTTTATTAAAAATTGTGTTTCTAGACCTTGAAGACACAGTCTAGTAGAATGTGGTTAGTAAGGGGTAAGAAGATGGAGGTTGACAGATGTTGGGCAAAAGATTGAAACTTTCAGTTAGTATGAAATAAGTCCTAGAGCTCTTTTGTACAGGCTAGTATTCAGTTATAACAAGATAGCATATTTTGGAAGTTGATAAGAAAGTAGGTTTTAAGTGTTTCACCACAAAAAGTAAATACCTAGTTGTGCATGGTTGCCCACATCTGTAATCCCAACAGTGGAGGTAGAGGAAGGAGGATCAGGAGTAAAAGGTTATCATCAGCTACATAGTAAATTTAAGCCCAGTCTGGGCTACATAAGACACTGACTCAAAAATAAAAAAGAAATACCTGAGAAAATGGGTATGTTAATTAACTTAAGCCAATTCTACAATATACTTGTACACTAAATATGCTATCCATGATAAATATATATAATTTGCATGTGTCAGTTAAAAATGGTTTTGAACATCTGGAGAGATGGCTCAGCAGATAAGAGCACTGACTGCTCTTCCAGAGAACCTGGGTTCAATTCCCAGTGCCCATATGGTAGCGCACAGCCATCTTATAACTCCAGTTCCATGGGATCCAACACCATCTTTTGGCCTCTGTGGACACTGCACTGATGTGGTGCACAGACATACATACAGTCAAAATGTTTAAAAATGGTTTTGAAGCCAGGCAGTAGTGGTGCACACCTTTAGTCCCAGCACTTAGGAGGCAGAGGCAGGCAGTTCTCTGTGAGTTCAAGGCCAGTGTGGTCTACAGAATGAGTTCCAGGACAGCAGCCAGGGCTACACAGAAAAACACTGTCTCAAAAAACCTATAAAAAAAAGATTCTAAAATTATATATTAAGATTCCTTAGTTAATATTTAGAATGAACAACTATAGTCTGCTTCCTTGTTTTTTAGTCATGTACCCAGATTGCACTGAATATATAATAGTTCTTTTTAAAAGTGTTCAGTGATGATAAAGATCATTGATAATGCTTATAAAAAAAAAAAAGCAGAGGGCCCTAAGGCAGTAATGTGCCTTAGAGAATCACAGATTAGTAAGAGGGATAGTGTGGTCAGATGAAGCCATTGCAGGGTTAAAGAATCCATTTGGGGGCTGGGGTTATGGTTCAGTAGGTAAAAGAACTACATAAGTTTTATGACCTGAGTTCCAGAACTCATGGAAAAACTGTGCATTTCTATAATGCTATCATTCCTATGGTGAGGTGGGAGGCCGAGACAGGAGAATCCTCTGGAAATTTACAGGCCAGCTGGTCTGGATTATGCAACACAGGAACAAAACGAGAGACCCTACCTCAAAAACATGGTTGAAGTTGAGGACACCCAAGGTTGTTCTCTGACTACAGATGCATGATGGCACAAATGTACCTCATACATATGTTATATATACATACATGCACACATAAAAAATTTTTAAAGAATCCATTTATTTGCTGATTTGAGAG